ATGTTAACATATGACCCAGCAAGTATTCTTCCATAATGCAGAGATTTGAAAACATCCATCCACACAATAGCTTGTACACAAATGTTCATAATAGCATTATTCATAATAGCCAAAAACTAGAAATAGTCTAAATATCTAGCACCTGATGTGTAACCATACAGTGGAATAATATTCAGCAAAACGAAAAAGCACCTAATTACAGATAGGTGCTATAACATGGGTGAAACTTGAAAACATCTTGCTAAGTAGAAGAATCAAGGCACAAAATACCATATTATAAGATTCTGTTTACATAAAATCTCTAGAATAGGAGAGCCTAGAGAGACAGGAAGACATCAGTGGTTGCTTAGCCCTGGAGGGAATTGGGGGTGGGGCGTGACTGCTAATGGGTTCAAGGTTTCCTTCCTGAGAAGATGAAAATGACCTGAAATTGGATAGTGGTGATGATTGTCTAACTGGAGATATACTAAAACTACTCACTCGTGTACTTTAAAAGGGTACGTTTAATAGTATATGAACTATATCTCAACAAAATTGCTATCGAGAATGTCAGATCTGCTATTGACTTTGGGTACTGGTGTCTTCTATAAAATCGTGCTTTTTGTAAAACCTAACTCAAAGAGCAGGTATGAGAAATGAGAAATGAGAAATCATATGTGAAACTCTGGAAGAGTAGCTGGCATAGTAAATACCCAATGATGTAAAATGAGCATCTTGATGATTTTCTCTAACTAAACACAGGGCCTTCCTCTTGTCCATTTGATAAAATAAAGTCAGTGTTGCTTTCAGCAAAATAGCCTAGGATTCTCAGTGACCTATAATGCAAGAAGACTGACCCTATCCCTAACACCCTCAGACTGTATGTACCTCTGATGGAATTACAGCCTCATGGCTCTGATTTCTGTTATTTATTTCTTAACTAATATAACTGAGACCTTGCTCAAGATGTGCTCATGAAAAATCACCCTTTTAATGGTGGAGCATTTAATGAGAAACTGGATTATCTACTGCATAAGTGCCCTTCATACAAATGAGCTTGGCCCTGGGTCCTAATCTAAATTGGGCTCCCCACTTTTCTCTAAATGGCCTAATATTTTCTTATTAATCTCTGCCCTTGTTCACCTGATCTGGCTCTGCCTCCTCCTATGAATCTTCCCCTCTGCAGAGTTCTGTGCCCTGATAAATGTTTCTTAAGACCGTCTTTATATCTGACTCATGGACTTTTTTGGACATGACTGGTGGCTGGAAGCTGTTCCGTTTTTAAGCTGTCTCTCCACCTCCACCCACAAATGGTGTTTTACCATATTGAGATTTGTGCCAGGTAAGTTTTAGTTTGTGGTAAACACTGGGCTTTGTTGGGAAGTCAGATGGATGAGGAACAATTAATTGTAGTGGTTAAGAGAACAGGCTTGAAAACACAAAACACAAGCAAACCACAAGCATAAACTTAGGGTCCAGAAAAATTGGGGTCCTGGTTCCACTCTGCGAGCTTGGACAAGTTATGCAACCTCTTACCCCTTTAATTTAGGTCCTTATTTATAAGCCTGAGTAATAGTACCCCCATTTAGGATTATCTAGGGGACTAAACAAGCTGATGCTTATAATGTACTTTGTAATGTACTTTGTGATCAATGCTAATTTGGGGGTTTTTGGGTTTTTTTTTTTTTTTGGTTTAAGAGAGATTTTTGCTATAGGGTATTTGTGCTCACTTGAGAGACAAAGAGACAGAAAGCGAGAAATTACACACACACACACACACACACACACACACAGACCAGGGTAGGGGTTGTGGTCTCACCACAGTCCCTTCTCTTTCATTCTCCTCTCAGGATTTTAGTTACAGACCCGCATGTGCTCAGCATGAGTTTCAAGCCACCAGATCTGAAACTAGAATCACAGTTGGCCATGTAGGAGTCCAGCGCCTCAACCACATTGTTAGCGATAGAAACAGCACCACTCCAAGTGGTCAAGAGGCAGAGGTGGTATCTGCAATAGGCAGACGGTCAGATCTGGCCATGGGAAATCTCTAGCAAGCATTACATAATCAGGCAGGGAGAGGTGACCTACAGAGCCCCAGGCCCTGTCATTTAGCACCATGTGGATAAAAGTTCAGTTATGGTGAATGTTCTCTTTGATCTGCATTCTCCTCTCTGACATCTGTCCTCGTAGAACCCCTAGGTTTCATTTTCACATTGATTATAGTTCGGAATGCATACTTCATGTGCTATATTTGCGTTGTAAATTACTAGGCAAAGGTTTTGATAGAAGGGACCTCCAAAAAGTTCATGGAACATACCATGCATGGATTTCTTTTCTTTTTTTTCTTTTTCTTTTTCTCTTTCTTTTTTTTTCCCCCCACAATAGACTTTATATTTTAATTTCATTTTTCCACAAATTTTCCCCAAGGCAAAGTGGAAGAGTACTACCTGGGATCAGGGCTCACCTAGACCTGGCTCTGCAGACATCCTTCTGCACCTCCCTTCCAGCCTGGATTGTAACTTGCACATGCTGCTTTTATGAGGCGGAAAGAGTGGTGACAGCTGCCATTTACAGAGAAATCACTTTGTGATTACCCGCTTCATGCATACTATCCCACTGAAGTTAATATTCATACTAACTCTGAAAGGTAGACAATTCACTTGACTTACAAGGCAGTGATTTGAAAAGAGAACGTCTGACTCTAAAGGCTGAGCTTTCTTACACACGTCGTGTAAGGTGCAATACATTTCTATTTGCAGTCACCAAGATCTTGAGCTTCAGGGGCACAGACTATGCCTTCTTCATCTGTTGCCAGTGAGTGAGAGCGTCTGGCATGGAGGAGATGCACAGGAAGGGATGAATGAACGTATGAGTGAAATGAATGTCGTGTTTTGTAAGTACAGAAGCACTAGGCAGTTGTTAGTTATTGCTACTGTACTTCTATTTTAAGCATGTCCTCAGGTAATTCTCAACCCTACATTATAGAATGACCTTCCTTGGCATATCATAGAGATAGGGAGAAAGGGACTGAACAATCTCATGTCCTAGGCTTGAAGTTTCGGACCATGAGGGAGCCACAGTGGAGAAGTAGTCAGGAGTTGTAGTCGATGTTTCAGAAGATGGCTCTGTGACGCCTAGGGTGTTCCAGGTGCCATGAACTACGTGTGTGCATTTTTCGGAACTCTGCTGAGGTTAAGTGTGATAAGATTACATAAGGGTTTGTACTTACCTCTCATGTACTTACCTTCTTTCTGACTCTGTGAAGTAGAACAAACACCTGAATTCTGGGACCTTTATATTCATCAGCTGGAAAATGGAAATGGTTTTGCTGTCGTAAACAGTGGGGCTAAAATGTATAAAACAGCTTGCACAAAGGACTCGCTCATTTTGTTTTTGTTTTCACATGAATATGTTTAAACTCTTCGTTGACAGAACTTAGCAAAATAATCTGTTATATTAATAATTACCAAGCGATCCTATTGCTAAGTTGAGGCACACAATACCAGGAAGCATTGGATCCCATATTTCCCT